CTGTCACCTCCGTCGGCGTTGTCGGCGTTAGCGAGATGACTTCAAATACTGCGTGGAAGTTTATTCTCTTCCGTTCATTTCTCTGAATCATTTCATTGTTCAACTTGGTTTTGGTCAGCCTTGGGTTTTCAATATGGGATACCCGATGATGTTTTTTGTGCGACAGCGATGAGCTTTCTCTTGGACAGTATTTCGGCAAGGTGGTTGCGCACATCAGTATGGTCCGAAGAGTTGTCGGGGCTGAGCTCTGATGGCGCCATGCGGGTCGTATTCGGCCGTGGCTACGGTCTCATGCTCCCTCCAGCTGATCGGCGGCCGACTCGAAGCAAGCAAGGGAGGAGGTTCTGTACGGTTGCAATGGTGACGTCCGAAAGTCTCATTAACAGTGAAGGAATTACGATGTATCCTTCGAGACCTATGGTGTTCGTGCTCTAACTAGAAGATCCCTCCCAGCAGTGGGTCATTCGGCTGAGGTCTCCGGCTTGGAGTTCTCCCTAGAGGCCGCAGTGGTGAATGTCCTCTTTGCATATCTATGACGGCCATCAAGAGGTATGAGTAGGTTCGCTCTCGTGTATGGTATAGATGGTTAGCATTGGTACTGGTGACGGATACATGGTGTTCATTTGGGACCATTTGTCGCATCGCCCGCCCGACCGCGGAAGCGATGGCCAGCCGCTGAAACCGCCGATAATCACTAATCTTATCATCCTTCTCGTATGCCTGTGATGAGCGGTTATTAGTTGGCAAGGTAGGGCGACTACACTACAGTAGTAGTCCGGTCGGTCGCTCTGTCCGCTGGTCTCAAAAGCCATGTGTGCTTGTTGCTGTGATGTCTGTTGATTACTCTCGATCCGACTTATATGTCTTCAACAGGTCAGCTTGTCTTCAACCGCGCATTGGCTTTCGAGCCGCAGGGAGATCTGCTTGCCATCAGTCGAGTATCGAGCCGTTTCCCAGATTACCTAGTCTAGCACGAACATGTCTAGTAAGGTTCAGCTGTAGGGTTATGCTCAGTGGTTCTTTTCAGCTCGAGAGCGCATCCTTTTGGGGGCGATGAAATATTGAGGGTCGATGTCAACGAAAAGGTAGTAATTGTGCTAAACTATGCCGCTATAGTAGCCACTGGCTGTGAGCCTTTCGAGGTTCTCGCTGGAACGCTGGCGTTTTGCCGAGCCCGTTGGAGAATCAACGAAGAAAATCAAAGGTGTCCATGCTAATATGAGCTCGCGGTCTCCTCGCCGTATACTCCAATTCCAGACTGGAAGGGACCGGTTTCGCCTCTGTGGGCAGTGAAGTAACTGTACCCTTACCCATGCTATATTGGAAGGAAATCCTTCCTCCCTACTGAATGTGATGTTCACAAATTTTGTACTATACTTCTGAGACACAGCAAGAACGCCAAAATACTGTTTCGAAGGAATTGGAATCGAAAAATTGCGAGCTTTTAATGGTGCCACGATACAGCATAGGAGCATGCTGTCGTGATGCTAGCGCTCTCTGTTCTTACAGTTGGTGTTGTGTTATGAAGGAGAGCCCAAGAGGGTACTTGTTTCTGCCGCAGGGTTGTGTGCATGCCGTACGAGTCCGCGGGTTCTGTTGCGAGTGGCCTGATGGATGCGCCCCATCCCAACGTGGGCGATCGTTACATGTCAGGAGGTGCTGCCGCGGCTAATACGTTTACGATGCGCTCCAACTGTTCGAGGGTAATGCGAATAGTTTATAAAGATCGGCTCGTGATTCGGAGAGCTGACTGGTCCTTGTCAGGCGTATAAGCTGCTGGAGTCTGACGACGTCGATGAGCATAATCCGCCTGGGGCTGGTAGCTCGGGTGCAGAGGCGAGAACAGCTAAGAAAAAGAAAGGTAGTCACTGCGGCAGAGGTGGCGGTCGAGCAGGCTTCCCTTAGGTTCCTTCATCGGTGTGTTTGTCCCTACGTGCGAGAACATGTGGGGGGTAAGTTTGGGGGATTGGCGACTGCGCGCATAAGGTGGCAGTCAGGTCCTCATATTCCTCCGCTTCTTCACCATCGTTGGGAATGCCGGACTATTTCACTCACTCTTAATCGTTTTCTGCAGCTTTACTGTCGCCTTCTGTGAGTCAGCATGGAACCTTTGACGGGCATCTCTGTGTAATTTATTCACTCTCAGGTACGACAGCATGTATGTCGGCTATGGCCAGTAGTGGTGGTCTTGTCTCAGAGGGAGGCCCCTACTATATGATCTCTC